GATTATTCCTATTGGTGCAAACAAAACTAGAGTGGGTGAGGGTTGTTTGGGCTTAGCCACAGCATCAGCTGGCAGAAGCTGGCACTGGGGGCTAGTTCTGTCAAGTCAAACCACAGAACTATCTGGAGAGTGCATAATCTGGGAGTGGGAGAGGCCAGGGAAGGAAATAGTGGGCTCATCCCTCTTGGGTTACCACTTACATCGGAGGGCATAAAACTAGGACAGCGGTTGGGGTGGAATGGGGTGTGGGACAGACTGGATTACTGCTGCACATACTGGCAAACCAGGGTAGGGGGCGGGCCTGGTGGGGGTTATTGTGGGTCGCTCCAACTAGGCTGCAGCTCCCACTGGTTTATGCGAGGGCCAAGTATGTGCTGGGCAGAACCAGGCTGGACTGCAACACCCATTGGTTCCAATGAAAGTCGGGAGTGAAAACAGAACTAACCCAGCAATTGCAACCACCAGCTGATCAGGGCAATGGCCTGTGCTGGGCCCTGTACTTGCTAGCACATACAAGAATCTGGTGTGAGCACACCTCAGACAAAGTTTCTTTGGAGATCTCCCCAATCAAAATGCTGGACTCAGAACCCTAACCAGGATAAGAGAGAAGACAGAACAGGTCAACCAACCAGCTCAGCTATGATGGACTATGTCAATCAGTGGATTCTTCAAGGACCTCATAGTGCTTGGAGTGGCAAGATTGGCAGCGATTCATAACTGCTGAAATATCAAAACCACTTGAACAAGAACCTCAGAGCATGCCCTACATCTGGGACCTGGGGAGGGTGGGAAATTGGGTGGGCCTTCTCCCTTAATACCACTCTTTAAACATGAAGGAAACAATATGGAAAAAATACTAGTCTTACCCACTTTCCTGTAGCCCTTGAACCTTTTTAAATAATAAAAAATATTTTAAAAAAATTAAAAAAACCCAAACTATAGCTTTGGAGCTGGTGCCATGGCAAAATAAGTTAACCCTCTGCCTGTGGTGCTAGTATGCTATCTGGGCACTGTTACTTTTTCTAGAGAATAAAATGTACATTCCTCAGTATGGCAAGATTTGATCTCCAACTATCTTTGCAGACTCAATTTTCCCTAAACTTATTCATCTCACCTTTTCCAGCTAAACTAGGACTCAGTCACTCCCTAGACTTCTCAAACTCTTCTTGAAGCTTTGCTAAAGAAAACACAATTCTTCAATGATACTTGCTAAAATGAGGGAGAGAAGACTTTACTCAAAGTTATCGTACTAGATAAAGGGACCACTGCAACGGGCTTTGTTGGTGGAGAAAAATTGAACTGAACTCCTAATGCACTATGGGAAGAAGGTAGTAGATGGAATGAAGCATTAAGAATGACTTCCAATTTCCCCTGAACAACTGGGTAAATGAAAGTTTAGAATACTGGGATAAAGAAAACTTGCATATTATATGGTAAGAGAAGTGGAGGTGGGAGGATTGGTTTTGGGGGTAAGGAATCAAGATTTCTTTCTGGATATGCCAAATCCAAGCAATCTCCTAGCTATTCTATCCCTCTGCATTCCTGTGACACAGCGTTGTGTTTTTAGCAGTGACTACACTGTGACTTGATTTGTTGTATACTACTGTCTCCTCAACCAGACTGTAAACTCCTTGAAGGCAGAGACCAATATTTCCTATTACCATACCTAAAGAAAGGGCCTTCATGACACTAACCAGCACGTGAGTGAATCAGGTCTGGAGGAAGAATCTGTGGGGGAGTGAGTGGGCTCACCCATGTGGAACAGTACCTTCCATTGGCATGCGCAAAATATATAGCTGGGAATAGGCCTGGTTGGGGAGTAAAGGGGATGCCCCAGCTGGGTTGGGGTTCCCACTGGTGAGCGTGAGAGCTAGAATAGGGGCAGTGGTCTGGACTGGACATGGCTGCAGCCTCCCCTGGGTGTGGACTGGGTCTGGCGAGTGCCAGACTGGACTAGACTTTAGCACCCACTGGTACTCATGAGAGCCAGAATGGGTGTACAATAGGCTGGGCTAAGTCTCGGTTCCTGCTAAACCACATGAGAGTTGTGACTGGGCATGGACCTGATGTGACTGGGCTGTAGCACCCAACAGTAAGAACTGGATAGGGTATGGGTCAGTTGGGCAAGGACACTGTCTCCGCCACGACAAAAGGTAGAAAAAGCCAACCTGGGCCACTGATGTGTGCACTATCACTGGGAGGTAACCTGATAGAGGAGCTTGGGGAACTCCTTTGTTAGAATATAGTGCCTGAAGGAGAGCACAAGAACCAGGGCAAGGAACAACCCAAACTAGGCCAAATTGTAGTAGCTGCTGGCATACATGTGTGTCAGGTCTAAGAGTGGGCTAGTTCATAACACCCACTGGCAGATCTGAGAAACAGAACAGGGTACAGGAGTGGCCGTGTTGGGTTCCAAAACCAACCAGTTTACACTGGGTCTGGGTCTGGGTCTGGGGGCTGGCTAGGCTGAGCTAGGTAGGTTGTAGCACCTGCCAGCGAGAGTTAGAAATGGAGGCAGGCTGGACTGAGCCAGGCTGAAGCACCCACTGGTGGATGCCAAGGTGAGATGAGGTATGCCAGTCTGGGCCTTAAACAAAGTAATCACTTAAAATAATTTTAGAATGAATAAAAGCAGTGTTCTAGAAACTACGGGGAATACAAACCAATGACAAAAGAAATAGTTTACAACCTAGCAATCCCTATTTTCTAAAATGTATCTAAAATAACAGAAATGTAAATGAATATTCAACTCACTTCAGAATCTAGTCTTCCAGTGTGTAAACCCAATCATATTTAATATACACATAAAACTAGCTCCTGCATATTTCAAGTAGGTTTTCAATATTTTATTCTGAAAAATGTCTATTTTTTGTGTAATCCTATATGTCAGATTGCAGTTGATTTGTATAATCAAGAATACTTAGTTATTTAGCTACTTTTAAAAGTGATCTGAACACTGAGTAAAATCACACAGCTTACGAGACAAACTCACCAAATTCAGAGCATTCCTTTACCCGCAAGGAAGAAAAGACAGAAGCCAAAACAAACTGCTTATAATTCTGCATTCACTTAGAAGAGAGGTTAGCTCTAGGAACTAGTTCCTCAATGCTGGTGCAAGATACTTGCCACAAAACAAACAAAATGATCCTGGCTTCTTAATGGAAAAAAAAAGACTAATTTTGCGCATTTGCAATGGGTCACATGTTCTGCTTCTCTAAACAGTGATATACTTTCTGGGAAGGATATGCCTGAGAATGATTATAAATGTTATAAAAACGTTATGGCTAAATGGCAATACCTTGGAGAGACTGCCCACACAGATGTGCATGCATAATATAAATAACTCATTAATGACTGACACTGGTCATGGAAGCTAAAAAGAAACGGAGCCAATCCTGCACGTACTCGGGAAGCTGAGAGGACTTGCCTTTGTCGTGTCTAAGCTTTCGCCTTTTTCCCCTCTTCCCTTTTCAAAGGCCTTCCTATCCTTTCTGTTGTTCCTCTTTACAGAAAATGAAAAGGATTTATATCTGTCACCTATATCTTGTTAGCTGATTTATGATATAAGATGCTACTTCAATGGATTGTCATCAATATATTAACTATTTGCCTTCTAGGCCTTTAATTTCAAGATATAGCATGAAAGGTTTATTCCCAGGAGAATATTAGGCCTCAGCAGAAAGACGTTAAGGATAGAGAGAGGTTCCTCCCTGCCTCCTAGTCATTAAAAGGGCAGGGTATTAAAAATCAAGTATCTATTTGAGTGCAAAGAATGAAAAGGCCCAAGGGGTTAGCATAGGTGCACCCTCCAAGGTGAATCACCGAGACAATCACTGCACCAAATTCTGGCAAATGTGTAGAACACGAAAAAGGAACTATTTGTAAGGATTACGACTGTCAATCATTCGGTGATTTGAAATCAGAACTCAAAGCCTTTTTGAACCTAGCTTAGGCACCATTTATTATATTTACAATATGTTGTGGTCATATAGCACTTTAGGCATAACAAAATGTTTCTAGATAACTTATTTCACTTGGACTGTAACAACACATAATGAAATCATCATTTCCACTTCTCAAATGGAGATTCTTATGTTCACTGGGAGTAGGGCTAATAAACAGCATAATCAGGGATGAATGACGAGTTTCTGAATCCAAGTATATTTTTCATTGTAATACCTAACTTTTACCTTGGAAGATTAAAATAACTTGCATATGTAAAGTCCATACACTTTTAATGTATAAAAGGGAAACTCCCCAAATTTCTATGTAAATTATGTTGATCTTTTCAAGCACAAGTTTCGGCTTCTTTGTTAAAGATAATTGCTTTGTTATTTGCAGATGTCCCATCTTAAATTCAGTGATAGAAAAAATACTGTCAAAAAATAAAGCTAATGAACACAAAAGGCCAGCTTCCTATAATGAAACATTTCTCACCTAGATATTCCTCTTTGAGATCTTTTGGAAGATTCCATTCAAATTCATTTAAAGCAGCAACTAAAAATTTGCAATTGTATAGTTTGTAGATTTCTGTAACTAGCTTTTTTTGCATATTTTATTCATTTGCCAACTTTGAGGCAATGTGATATCACCACAAGTTGCATCCTATTTCTGCTGAAGTGCCTTTTACCTTGACTTTCTTTAAAATATTAAAAGGGGATTATTCATGAAATAGATTTCCTTTTTGCAGCTGAGAAACTGAAGGATTTTAAGTATTCTACATGTTTAAAACTTGAGTTTTGCTACCTTGAAGTATTCTCTATTCAGTGGGTCACAGATTCGGAGTACCCGCTGGTAAAGTCTTGACAACCAAATGTACTACCAAAGTCACTTCTGTGATATCAAAGTAATAAAAAGTTGTTACAATAAAAATCTGTCAGTCTTGAAAAGTGACCATTACACTGCTACGAGCTTTAATTCTGCAGAGAAGTAAATCATACTTGTTTTAAAAACCAGCACCTGAAAATTCAAGAGTAATGCAGAGGAAGAAAGGGCCTTACCGGAGTGAGGGAAACCAAAGTGCTGCAGGATGTCCCGAGCGCCTGTGGCCAGCACGGCTGCCTGTCTGTCCAGCAGCTCTGACTGTTTAAACGTGGACTGCTGCGAGGAGGCTGGGGCTGGTGAGGTAAATGATAGGTTTTTGTTGACCTGTAATAGAAAAGGCAAATCAGAAACTACAGTGTAATTTCCTGGGCTACTGATGCAAAAGCTGAATGAGAAATATTTGCTTGCCATAGAAGGCCAGAACAAGGGATAGGTCAAAAAGAGGGGTCACATTAGATCTTCTTGAAGTTAACAAAACACAACTTTTTTTTTTCAATCAAGGAAGGAATATAGTGGTGATGAGAGTATTAATGCTTGCTTCATGGAAATGGCAATTATTAACAGCATAAAACCTTATGTATAGACAGACAAAAAAAGTGAGTCTGATTGCTTTCAACTAAGAAAAAGTTAAAATGTTTCACACTCAAATTTCATATATTTTGATGAGCTAGCAGAGGCTAGGTTTTTTTCCCAGCGGCTGCAGAGAAAACACCTGTACTACTTTTGTTTATCTATGTTATGATGACATAGATAACACAGCTGTAACCTAACTCCCACATGAAATACTTTCTGCTGTAACAAGAACCTTAGAAGTACTTATAAATACAAGCAAAGTAATGACCAAGCAAAATTTCCATGAGTGAAACAATGTTTCATAAAGAAAAAATAATCTATGATTGAGTACATTGGTCTCACAGATATGAAAAGCATGCCAAATATAATATTTTAAAAACAGGTATTGCGGGAAAATAAGCAATGGTTCACCAAAATCGTCTGGAATGTATTCAGGGAAAAATTCAGTCTTTTCTCCATTAGTAAGAAATTATTATATTTTCATCACTTCAAATAATCATAACAAGTGAGATATATTTTCTAAAAACTGGAAGTCTGAATTTTTTATTCACTGCAAAAATACACTCTGAATTAACAATGATAAGTTACAATCATGGCATACACATATTTTAAGTGCAAAAATATTTTTTCTTTTTATATTTGCTTTAAAAAGCTACACAGTTTTCACTACACTAATAATTTAAAAATTTTCTGTAAATGTTCCATATAAAATGATACTGGTTAGTGTTATATGTTCTTTATCTAACTCATTATTTATAAGCTTCTTATTATAAAGTGATAGGAAATGATATATCTTAGATTAAATTAATAGTTCTGTTGGAGCAGAGTATTAGCAGGATCAGTAAAATTAAAAAAGTACCCATACTGTTATGACATCATTTTACACACACACAAAAATAATTTAAAAGTAGTTAGAAGGTGTCAAATACCATATCAGTGTTAACTATTACCCAACTTTGAAAATTCTATTAGGATCAATTATCAAGCATTAATCAAATTAGTGTAAATTGCGCTAATACTTAAAAATATCAATAAAATTACTCAATGTGGTCTTTTTGTTTTTACCTTTCACTAGAGATAACAAAAATAGTATCAGTGCCTTCATAAGAATGTACTGAAGAAAATAAACTAATATTACAAGGGGCTATTCACATGTTCCCCCATAAAGCACTATATAGCACTAACCAAGGAATTGGTCAAATATAATTTATTAGGAAAGGCAAAATATAAGGTGGTATTTAAATATTAGTAATTAATATCATTAGAAGTAAAGGTGATTAGATGTACTTAATATAAGATGATGCTGCATTAATTTTTTTGAGTTCTGCCCTTTGAAATGAAAGTACCACCCACAAAAGGATGTCTTAACCATTTAATTTCAAATTCTTTTTGGAATCACTTATTTTATTTGCTGGTTTTACTTGTGTGTTGAAGATTTTCATCCTACTTTGAAAACTGAGGGCAAACAAACAGATGTTTGCTGGGGATACACAAATATCCCTGACCGCGTACTTGAATAGGGATGTCTTCACACACTCACAAAAAAAAAAAAAACCCAAAAACCCTTTAATCTATGATTACACGTTCTTCCAAAGCATTTTTATAATTTTGCTTCATTAAATATTCATTAGTCCATAAATGTTGAGTGGCAACCAGAGAAGATAACGTAATTTCTAAGGTTTAGGATAATTGTTCTGGATTGACATTATTAGTCATCTGACTAGAATCTGAAATATTTTCCAAGTTAGCTTATACACATTTACTACTTCATTTAGAGGAACAAAAATAATAAGAACCATTAAATAGAGTGAAGCAATATCTATTTTTGAAATCCATGCTGTGGAAAAGGATTGCTCAATGATTTTACAACAACAGAAAGGTTGGCTAAGACAGTCTCCTCTACACCAATCTACCCTTTTTCACAACACTTTAATGCTTGCTTCATGCAAAACCACAATCTGCCGAAGTCGTTTAGTATCTCCTCATTGGAGAAAATTAAAGGCATAACATTTTAATGCAATTCATAATAAAGAAAAGGAAAAGTCATCTAGAAGTTCTACCAAACTATAGAAACACTGTTTTGCCTACTCTTTGAGGATATAAACAACTTTCTACAAAATGCATAAATGCTGATTTCCTAGAAGAGGGTTAAATTTCATGTTAAAAACTCATTGCTTTGAACATAAAATTGAATGCAAAAAACTAAACAAATTAACATTCAGTTTTTCTGTAGTATTTAAAATGAAAAATCTCTCGGAAAGATAGAGCCATCATTTCCGTATATACTATTGAGCTGAATCATTTTAGCTGACTTTAGTTATACACTTCACCCAACCTGAACGACTTCACTGAACATAATATACCTCACTCAAAACGAAGTTTCAAGTATTGAAGAGAAATCAAACTGCTTTAAATCAGAGCCTCAATGATGCTAGTGCAGTCTGTAGAGCTTAAATTTTACAAACATCTCTCTCTGATCAGACTGTGGTTAACTCTTCTATTAAACCCACACAAAATGCAGACAGTACTTTAAGACAGTTCTGGTAACAAAAACAAAACACAAAACAAAGAAGAAAATAAAAAAACCAGCAATAGCCAATAAATGTCTTACTTCAAATAATTTAACAATTATAAAAATTAAAACCTCAGTATTAAGGAACAAGTTGACCCAAAGTGAGATTCAAAGTAGCTGAACTCATGTATATTGTATCTTCATAATATAATTTTTAAAAAGTAGCCTACATTTCCATGGGTTCTAGATCAGTAAATTTTAAGAAATGAGTAAGTATGAGCCTGGTGAAATGGCTCAATTGGTTAATCCTCTCTTGCAAAGTGCTGGGATTCCATATGGTGCCAGTTCATGTTCTGAATGTCCCCCACTTCCATCCAGCTCCATGCTTGTGGCCTGGAAAAGAAGTGCGGTGTGGCACCAAGTCTTGAGGACCCTGAATGCACCTAGGAGACCCACGAGAAGCTCCTGGCTCTTGGTTTCGATCAGCTCAGCTCCAGTTGTGGTAATTTAGGGAGTGAACTAGTGTATAGAAGGTCTTTCTCTCTGTCTTTCCTTCTCTCTGTAAACCTGCCTTTCCAATAATTAAAAAAAAAAAAGAGTGCATATGGTATCACAAACAGAAATGCAAACATAGCCCTCAGATATTTTCTTTCTGTGCTGGGACAGAAAAGAAATGAGGGAGAAAAACTTTTTTTTAATTGATTACATTGCATTATGTGACACAGTTTTATAGGCACTGGGATTCTCCCCACCCTTTCCCAAACCTTCCTCCCATGGTGGATTTCTCCACCTTGTTGCATTACCACAGTTCAAAATCAGTTAAGATTCCTTCATTGCAAGCTGTTAAAACTGCTAGACATACTAAGACAGAAGTAAGGTGAAAGAAAGTTTCAACCCTGAACAAGTTCATTACTGCATACTAAAACCAAAATTCAAATTTGAAGCAGTCTTTACAAAGCCTCATCTAGTAGTAATTTTAATTTTCGAGCCTCTGATATGTACCAACAGTGTGTGGTTCAGGTGACTGACAATATTCCTTCTAGGGAAGTTGAAAATTAAGATCTAGTTCTGGCTCACACCAATTATCCAGCAATAATGCCTTGTAAGGCACACTGACTCATCCTCACCCCTCATCTTCCCCTTGTTTCTCTGCAGAGGAAGTTTGGTCTTTAACCTCTTGAATTAGTCACTTCTAAACCTATGGAAGATGACTATGCCTTTTGCTACTATCCTCACCTCTTTTCTTTCAGCATCAGAGTTAAGAGCTGGCCCCTTCAAGACCAATCCCTCCACTGATCCCCTGGGAAAAAAACCCCTACAGTTCTTCCAAAGTCTACTTTCAAATTATTTTTCAAAATCAACAAAGGTAGATTTACAGAGAATGAGAGAGAACTAGATCTTGCCTCTCCTGGTTCACTCCTCAATTGTTGCAACGGCCAGAGCTGGGTGGGTCTGAAGCCAGGAGCTTGGAACTTCTTCCTATCTCCCATTTGAGTGCAGAGTTTCATCTGCAGCTTTTGTGGGCAAATGAGCAGGGAGCTGGATTGAAGCGGAGCAACCAGGACTCAAATCAGTGGCTATATAAGATAGTGGCACTTCAGGTAGAGGCTTAACTATGCCATGATGTCACTTACCCACTTTGTGATTTTCTTTTTAATCTAAATTAAAAATTAAAAATTTGATGAATTCTCTTCTCCATGTTTTCTACTTATTTTTAAAAATTTACTTGCTTAAAAGGTAAAGTGAGAAAGAGAGACAGCGAGAAAGAGAGAGAGAGAGAGATCTTCCATCTGCTGGTTCACTCTAGATAGCTGTAATAGCTGGGGTGGGCCAGGCTGAAGCCTGAAGCCAGAAATTCAGTCTAGGTCTCAAATGGGTGGCAGGACTGGAGCACTTGAGCCCTCAACTGTTGCTTCCCAGGTGCATTAGCAGGGAGCTGGACTGGAAATAGAGTAGCCAGGACTCAAAACAGACACTATGACATGGCATGTGGGCATTCTAAGCAGCAGATTAACCCGTGGTACCACAGCTAGTTTCAAACTTTCAAAACATTTTTTTCAGTGAATAAGACATTTCAAGTTAGATTGGGCTAAAATATGGATTAATACTTTAATTTTATAGCATTATTCTAATAAATGAAATTCAATAAACGTTAACTTTGCTACATTTACATTAATCTAGGTAAGAGACACCAGTAACCAACAAAAAAGATGGAAGTCAGTGGCTTCAAGAAGCTTAC